AGTGAAAAGACTTGAAAATTAAATCGTACGTGAACTTTGTGAGGCACCTTGTTACTTCAGGGCAGAAAGTTAGAAGGTTAGATTGGGCGAAGATCATTTTGAATAACTTGGAAAATGATCCTGAAATATTTTAACTTCATTTCAATACTTCATATGCTTCCGATGCTTAGTTATGATTAATTAATGATTAACATGTCATTTTGGTTTATGATCGATTTCATCACGATTATTGTGTAAATCATGGAGAGTAATTATACATTCTTATTGTTAGTGTTATAAAATCCTCGGAGTATCCCAGTAAGATATCTTTAATCATTTGTGTCATGAGTCCTTACCTATAACTACAGAATGAACTCTTCCTAACACAATGTATACTACGCCTCTCAAGAGAGAGGGGCGAATTAAGCCGAGCTTCTCGGCTTGACGGTCGAACTGTCTGCCTCTGAGCAGAGAGGAACCCTGACGAGGCTCCGCCGAAGGGCAGAGTCTCGTTCGGGGAGGTTGACCAAACTCATTCTGTTTTTACAGTTTCTACGGTCATTTTTTCGCCAAGCCTACGGGCTCAGAAAACCCACATAAAACTCGGCCTTATGCCACATCTTTCCCTCGTGGGGAGGGGCAAGTAAATATCGAGTCGAGCTGATAGTAGTTCACTCCAAACCAGACTGACAGTCATACTAACACCTTCCACATCTTGTATTATTATTTCGTGTAATATACCTTCGTTATTTGAACTCTTATGTTCGTGTTGTTCTTCCTTGGTCCTAACCTGAACCATAACAATTTGTTAGTTACAACGTTTCAAAACTTAATCTAATAGATGGACAATTTTTCTTCTACGCGATTTCGACAATTTTGCCTTTACACACGGTATATACAAAACTTTATTTTTCTATTCAGTTCTTTCAAAATCTTTCGTTCAAAAATTATCCCATTTCCCTCATAATTGATTTTGCACTTAGAACCCTCTGTCGAATCATTTTTAAATCTATTACTAATAGCTAAATTAACACGAGTCAATGATTCGAAAAATGTTGAGAAATGATGCCAGTAAATGCGCACAATCGATTTTCTGACAACTGATGTCATGGATGGCCTTTAAACAAGATAGCTTTATAGCAATTGCATGTCAGGCGATTGCAGGGCTAATCCATTGCGCCTCTACTTGTATTTTTCGAGCGATCAAAAGTGTTTGGCGCATGTTCACTTTATAGATGTATGTAACGTTTAAACTGTTGGTGAGCGATTACTGAATAATTAAAGAACGTGTGAGCAAGGGTGCAAAGCGGTGTAGTGGATAGCGGCTAGGATTGAGGAATCGGAGATCCATTCGGATCCTTTACATTTACTTATGTGCTAATAATATTGGGAAAGGTATCAATCCACTTCTTGTCTTGTTCGGCTGCAGTAGAAGTGGTGTTTCTGGGGTAAATTAGCCTGACAGAGACCAACCTTAACCAGGCCAGTTTGAATTCAGAGTTTTCCTTCTCCTAGACCTGTGGTCTTACAAACCTGATGGGTTACGAGGTTCGCGATCGCCTTCGAGCAAGTGAGCAACGAAAATCTTCTAAGAAAAATGCACACAGAAAGGATCTGCAGGAGAGAATTGCAATATGGTGGCTGGCAAAAGTTGATACTCACAGTACATGTTGAATGTAAGTTATCTAAGTTTATTAAATCATTGATGACCGAAGATGAAGTGAAGGAATACTAAGCAGAGAAATATCGCCATAATCGCCAAGATACTGAAAAGAAAAAAGTGCATAAAGCAAGTTTGCTAATGAAGAAGAGAATATCAGAAAAGCCGTTGTGTAAATGTAGAAACAGAACTTCGTTTAATACGATCAACCTTGAAAAAGTAATGCAATGATGATTTTTCTAGCGATCAACCATTTTAAAATACCAGCCATGAAAATAAGATAACGAATTCCCCAAAATTCGGCGTTGATCCAAAGTTAAATATTAGCATCAATGAGATATATTAAAGAATATCACCATTTTTATCTAATCAGTTTTGAGCGATACAGAAATAGTAACCGAAAAGGATATATCGACAGATAGGAATTGAATGCGAATAAAATGGATATATAAATAGGTACAGATAAAAAAATCTAAAATGATAGCCAAATAGAAACCGAATGCGATATATATATATATATATATATATATATATATATATATATATAGATACACCTAGTGAGCCAGACAAACCTACCTAGGTTTCACCTAAACGGATCGTCAGGGAAAGTTTGGCTAACGAGGCAAAGAGAAACAAGTGTATCAAGTGAAAATTTACAAAAATACTGAGGATACTAATCCTAAAACATACATAGGTGCTACTCAGGATAAATTTAAAAAAAGATATTATAACCACACGAGTAGTTTTAAGAATGCAAAAATTAAACATAGTACCACGCTATCTACCTACGTATGGAAAACCAAACAAGATAATATAGACCCCATCGTTAAATGGGAAATATTTAAAAAATGCCCAAAATAT